AATAATAATAGTAATAGTAATAATAATAATAAAATTGGAAGGGACCTTGGAGGTCATCGAGTCCAACCCCCTGCTCAGGCAGGAAACCCTATACCATTTCAGACAAATGGCTGTCCAGTCTCTTCTTAAAAACTTCCAGTGTTGGAGCATTCACCGCTTCTGGAGGCAGGTTGTTCCACCGGTTAATTGTTCTAACTGTCAGGAAATTTCTCCTTAGTTCTAGGTTGCTTCTCTCCTTGATTAGTTTCCATCCGTTGTTTCTTGTCCTGCCTCCAGGCGCTTTGGAGAATAGCTTGACTCCCTCTTCTTTGTGGCAGCCCCTGAGATGTTGGAATACTGCTATCATGTCCCCCCTCGTCCTTCTCTTCATTAAACTAGACATTCCCAATTCCAGCAGCCTTTCCTTATATGCTTTAGCCTCCAGTCCCCTGATCATCTTTGTTGCTCTTCTCTGTACTCTTTCTAGAGTCTCAGCATCTTTTTTACATCGTGGTGACTAAAACTGGTTGCAGTATTCCAAGTGTGGCCTTACTAAGGCATTGTAAAGTGGTATTTTCCTAACTTGACTCCTTTAAGGTCTGCATTTTCTAGAATTTGGATTTGCCCGTACCTTTTTGCTTTTGTCATGGAAATGAGATGAGTCGTATCTGTCAGCCTGATCGTTGCTCACCCCATGTTTTGTGGTGAGATGTCTAACCTTGAAAGGAGAAGTCTCATGACCACAAATGGCACCCAAGAGATGCTACTTAATATGCATAGTAAAGGAAAAACAGTGTAACTCTTCTACTATTAGCAACGGCCTAGTTAATTCTGTGAAGCCGTGCAATTGTCCCCTTGCGATTATGCTTCCAAATAAAATTGTGATAAATACAGATAACAACCACCATAAATGTGGTCCTTATAGTCAAAAGCCAGAACAAATGTAGGTCCAAGTAACTGTGTTGTAAAAAAAAAAGCTTTGCAATCCACAGATGTGCATAGAAAGGACTTTTTTTAAAAAAACATTAAAACAGCTGGATCTCTTTTGAGGCGTGTGCAGATGTTTATAGAAGTTGCTTCAGGCTGTTTCGTGTGTTGAATGCGCATAGCCACCCCGCTTCCTGGAAGCTGGAAAATGGAGCAGCCATGTGAGCGTGGAGTCCAAATGCTTGCAATAGTATATAAATATTGCGAAAATAAATAAATGAATAATACACAGCTGCTTTAATGAGTCAAAGAGAAGACATAGCTCTTTTGAAGGATTTGCGCAGCCCATGGCATTGGCATATATACTACCTTGCTTCTTGAAAGCTGTTTATCAAGCAGCCATTGGGCCTGGAGTCCAAATGCTTGAAATAGCATACAGATATTGCAAAATAAATAAATAAATAAAACACAACTGCTTTAATGAGTCAAATAGGGGACACAGCTCTTTCAAAGGATTTGCACAGCCCTTGACCTTGACATGTATAACTACCTCGCTTCCTAGAAGCTGTTTATGAAGCAGCCATGTGTGCCTGGAGGTCAAATGCGTGCCACAATATACAGATATTGCCAAATAAATAATACATAGCTGCTTTAATGAGTCAAAGAGAAGACACAGCTCTTTTGAAGAATTTGCACAGCCCGTGACAGTGATACGCGCAGCCACCTCACTTCCTGGTAGCTGTTCATGAAGCAGACGTGTGAGCCTGGGGACCAAATGCTTTCCACAGAAGACAGATATTGCAAATAAACAACACACAGCTGCTTTAATGAGTCAAAGAGAGGACATAGCTCTTTTAAAAGGTTTGCATACAAATTTCTGAGCATCCTTCTGCTAAAGTAAGGCAATTTGGTATGACTGGAAACAGCCAGATGACTTGACCCTTCCCTTGCTTTGTGTTAACAATGTGTAATCAAGGGAGCACTTTTAGTTTTTCGAGATGTTCATAAGCGTTTCATTTCATTAATCCGTTTTCCCCCTTTCCTTGCCTGACTTCGAACTCATAACTCATTCACGCCTTGTGCATGGAACGGTCGCCTTTGCTCCAGAGCTGTGGAAGAAGTACTGTTTAAATTCTGCTCCAGACAACAAATTTTGTTACGGAATGATGAATATACTGGTTTGTTTGTGGTTTTTATTCCTGGTTATTGTCATTTCGGGTTTTTAGAAGTATAAATCTGGCACACTATGCAAAAGTAAAATTGACCGGGGTTAATTAAGATTTTGAGGTTAAGACAGATGGCTCTATAATAAAGGGGGAGGATATTTTTTTAAAACACATATTTAGACTACTCAACCTGAAAATGACTCCTGGTATCTTCTTCAATTTGTTTTAAAAAAATTCTAAATAAAACAACAGCCATGCGTAAAACAATAACTCTGAGGAAATCATAAACCATTTTCCATTCTCCCCCTCTCCTCTGCCAATTTAAGGGGTCTCCTGGAAAAAAATCACACAGATTTTAAAGATCACACAAGGGCAGGTAAGATAATTGCCATATAAAAATTAGAAAAAAGACTTCACAAAAAAAGTCTTTAGATTTTTCTAAAAAATCTTTAGAAAAAGACTCCAAGAAATAAAATTGATTATGTCCAGTAAGTCAAAGCCCATGTTTAAAATTCTGCTGAAGGTTATATATAGCTTTATAAGAAAAGGGACATGACTACTCATTTTTAGTCATTCATATTCATGGAAACTTCCTACAGTTCTAAAGAGTTCAGAATCATTTCTATTTTATTTATCGTATTTAAGAAAATGATAGATGACTCCTACCTAAGGTCTCACCTTCAGATAATTTACAAACTCAGATCTGGACAGCAAAACAGTGTCTCCCCTTTTTTTTGACCATTTTCTGAATTCTTCACTAACAAACCCCACAAAAGCATTTTTTACTTTTCAAGTAGGCTAATAGCTCTTTGTAATTCTTCCTCTTTTCATTCAAACCAGCAATTACTTCTTAGCATTCCCCAGAAAATCACTTTGTGGTTTTCAGGAATTTCAATTTCTGAACCAAATCCTCATAGTAGCAATTACTTTTAATTGTTTATCGCCCAAACTGGGGAATCAGTTTATGCCTTAATGGTTTATCATTTATCCTTGCTTGCATGCTTTCATTTTGGGAGAGAGGATATGCACATTTTATAACTGCCCCTTTTAACCTTGTTATTAAAATAGAGCTTATGAATTGTAGTTCTGTGAAAAGGCTAAGGACTCAGACCATAAACTCTCAGGCAAAACTAAGATTCAAGCTGGTTTATTCATGGAAGACAGTAGACTCTTAGTTAGCGTTTATCAAATTTAGCAACATGAAGATGTGTGGACTTCGACTCCCAGAATTCCCCAGCCAGCGTGGCTGGCTGGGAAATTCTGGGAGTCGAAGTCCACACGTCTTCAAATTGCCAAGTTTGAAATACGCTGAGGTATTAACTGAAGGGCATTATATGTTGTATATGCAAGTATATTGGGTAAAAAATAAGTTTGTTTCCCATCTTTGTTTCCCATCTTTGATCTGTGTAAGAAGTTAGATTTAGATTTGTGGTTTTTTTCTATAATATAAACCATTAAAAAAACCACAATTTTTTTAGGATACATGACCATGTGAAAAAAGCAAAAAAGGATAGTGAGGAACAAAACAACTTTGGGAAATATTGCAGGTGCTACTGTTTTCAAAATCATTTTTTTCCCTACAACCTAGAACACAGTGTGAGATTCGGATATTGGAAACCAACAAAGTTGATCCAGAATTACTAATTATCCTTATCACATCACCAGCAATGTCAAGTAAATAGTATTGCTTATTTGAACTTCCAAATTTATCCTCTGTGTATGTGTGTGTGTGTGTGTGTGTGCGCATTACTTATTTTAGAACTGTGACATACAATGGAAACTAGCCACGTTCCTGGTCTTCTTTCTGGGTTACTCCTAAACACTTAAAATGAGCAATATAATCTATCTATATATAAATAAAAATGTAAATGTTCGTTTGTTCAAAATCTTAAATCTCCGAAAGTTCTTCACCGATTGCTTTGAAATTTTGACACAACGTTGCATTCGAATACGCGCGTGTTTTTATATACCTATATTATATAGATGTCACACCTGTGACAGGTAAAAACATGCTTTTTGATATATACCTATATTATATAGATGTCACACCTGTGACAGGTAAAACATGCTTTTTTTTAAAAAACAGCGCCATCTGTTGGACGTAAAAGCAACACATGCTTTTACCAGACTGAGCCACAGCAACGCGTGGCCGGGTACAGCTAGTGTTAAATAAAGAGGGACAAAAACTGAAAAAGGTTTGGAAACACAATGCAGATTTTGATCTCCAGGGGCAAATTTGCTGCGCATATTGTGCCAGATTTAATCTCCAGAAAGGGAAACAGAGTGTTTTGAACTATAAAATGCAAGCCAAAATAACGAGGCGTATTACTTTGCATCTGAGTAATTACTTACTTGCCTGATGTTAAATGATTTTGTTAAATCATTAGAAAAGAAAAGCTGGTGGGATACAGGTAGCCCTCAACTTACGACTATTCATTTAGTGACCGTTTGAAGCTACAACAGCAGTGAAAAAAATGAATTACGCCTGATTTTAATACTTATGACCTTTGTAGCATCCCTAAATTCAGGCTCCTGGCAACCGGCATGCATTTATGACAATTGCACTGCTCCAGGGTCATGTGATCACCATTGGCAACCTTCCCAGCTGGCTTCTGACAAGCAAAGTCAATGGGGGAGGCTTAACAAAGTGATTCGCTTAACAAAGATGGCCAAAAAGGTTGTAAAATGGGAGACAACTCACTTGTCCATTGTCTTGCTTAGCAATGGAAATTTGGGGCTCCACTGTAAGTTGAGGACTACCTGTATTTGCCTGATGCTACCTCTGTCGATCATTATACAAGAAAAGGCTGGAGGAATAATACACGCTTGAAGATCTGGAAGATAAGGATGGAGATCTGATCTCTCTGATTGTAGCTTGCTCATTTGGTTTTGCTTTGTTTTGTTTTGTTTCTTCTGGGTGGGACCTAGAGTGGACCAGATTGTTGGGCGTGGACCATCACTGACAGACAAAGACCGCACCAAAGGCTCGGCTGAAGGAGAACTGCCAGAAGATCCAAGTATGATGGGCAGACTTGGCAAGGTGGAAAAACAGGTACGATTCCAACATTATTTGTCCTCTTTCCTGCGAGGGTTCCATTGGCTGCTGATTTGCTTCCGGGTCCGAATCAAGGTGCTGGTTGTCACCTTTTAAGCCCTACTGTCATTTCCTTAATTTGGATATTTCCCCAAGAAATTGGAAGTTTGTTACATCACTCTGGCAGTTGAGGCGTCCTTGGTGCTCTCTGAGTGTGGTTGTTTCCTTGCAGACGTTTCATCACCCAACTAGGTAACATCTTCAGTGCTAGAAGGGAGTGGGTTTGCTCTCTGTTTATATACAAGTGGCTTATCCTAATCAAGGAACTGTCAGGGCAAACTATTTGTATATAAACAGGGAGCATATTCCACTCCCTTCTAGCACTGATTATGTCACCTAGTTGGGTAATGAAATGTCTGCAAGAACACAACTAAGCTCAGACAGCACCAAGGACTCCACAGTCGTTGTCGTTGTCCTCCTCCTCCTCTTCCTCCTCTTCCTCCTCCTCCTCCTCCTCCTCCTCCTCCTCCCATTCTGATTTCTTCACTCTGAAAATCTCACTCCCTTCTAGCAGTGATGATGTTACCTAGTTTGGGTAATGAAACATCTGCAAGGAAACAACCCAACTCGGAGAACACCAAGGACCCTCATTTCAATCCTGAGTTACAAACAGTCTCCTTCAGTGTTACTCCGGCAGTTGTTAATCTTTAGGAAACTTGGCACTATCCTCAAGATTCTTGATGGCTGAATCAAGGTAGCTTAGATCTAAAATAATTTGGCTAATTGTGTCTTGGGGGTCTGTGGGCCATTTCCCAGGTTCTCTCCATGGAGAAGAAGTTGGATTTCTTGGTCAACATCTACATGCAACGGATGGGGATCCCTCCGACTGAAACAGAGGCCTATTTTGGCTCTAAAGAGCCTGACCCAGCACCACCTTATCACAGTCCAGAGGACAGCCGGGAACACATTGATAAAAATGGCTGCATTATCAAGATCATCCGCTCAACCAGTTCCATGGGCCAGAAGAACTACTCTGCCCCACCAGCCACAATGATGCCAAACAACTCATGTCCTCCCTCCACTTCTTGGCAGCACTATCCCCGTCCGAGCTATGGGTCATCCCCAGTTGGTGATCCCGGTTCCTTGGTGAGAATCCCACCACCGCCGTCCCACGAGCGTTCCTTATCTGCCTACAGCGGGGGCAACCGAGCCAGTTCCGAGTATGCCAAGAACGAAGACGTGACTGCTAAACACCCCGAAAGTGCCCTGAGAGACAGCGACACGTCCATTTCCATCCCGTCGGTCGACCACGAGGAACTGGAGCGTTCCTTCAGCGGCTTTAGCATTTCTCAGTCCAAAGAAAATTTGGACATCCTGAACAATGGTTGCTACACCGCAGTGGCCAAAATCAGACCTTACATTGCGGAAGGCGAGTCAGACACAGATTCTGACCTCTGCACACCCTGTGGCCCTCCGCCGAGGTCAGCAACAGGTGAGGGACCTTTCGGAGATCTAGGCTGGTCAACCCCAAGACAATGAAACCACGGAAAGCCAGCTGAAGATAACGTGAAGAACATGAGGCAGTCACTGCGTCTGCATGTAGGACCTCTTTCGCAGACTGGAAGGTCATGTTCTGGGACCCAGAAGTAGGGGGCACTTAAATATTGTTTACCTTGGGGGTGGGGGAAGAGACGGGGTACCTGTGACCTACAAAGAGCAAGAGAGTCCCGGAATGCGTAACTTGAGAAGTCTTGCAATGCCCATGGTTTTATCTTCGTGACTTTCTAAATTGGATAAGTGAAATTCTTTTCATACGCTTGGGTAGATAGCTACAACCCGTAGTAGCCTTCTCTACTACACAGGCATTGTGTCAGAGCTTGGTTGTGTCATGGGTAAATATCAGATTTGAATGAGAAGACGTTACGGCCCTGAGCTTTTGAACCACACACAAAAAACACGCTGATGTCTTAAAAAAAATAATGCTTTCGTAGAAGAAGAAACATATCGATCATAGGTGTTGAGGAACGGCGACTTAATAATAATAATAATTACTCAGCAGTTACGCAGTGGAGATCTAAAACGGTTCATGCCACATGTCCAAATGGCACGTCCATGAATTTTTAGTAGTAGAAAGGAAAACAGCATTGAGGTTTTAGATCAGGATTAGGGCCATAACTTGAAAGAAACATGTTTGAATTTTAAAAGGACAGCAAAATCTCAAGAGGACCTAGAATCACAGGGTTGGAAGGGACCTCGGAGATCTTCTAGTCCAACCCCCTGCTCAAGGCAGGAGACTTTATATTATCTCGGTCAATGGTTGACCAGTCTATTTCTGAAGCACGGCCGATTTCATTTGAGTTTGATTTTGGTTGTTCAATAAAATGTTTGAAGGGTAGAGGCGTCAAACCAGTTCTCAGTGTGCACACTCAGAGGTTTAGATAGGTTTGTCCTGCTTAGGATGCTGTGACCACTATTAAGATGGAGAGCCAAGAATGGGAGAACACTAAACTCTGCATTTACATATATATAGGTTAATATCAACCCAGTCTGGAATGGCAGCTTCCTGCTTCGCACCTCTTAATTATGGGTCTCTGCAGGGGACAAGTGACATGTGTCATCATAGAAATGGCACGAGTTGTGGACTTAGGCTGTGACATTTGCACTGAAATCTTTTCTTTGCCTGTTCTGTCCCAGCCTACGTGAGTCCTTGTTAAGCTCACAGGGAGAAACCCCTCTTCCAACAAGCAGGCTGGAACCGCAGGAAAAAACCAATCCCCTTTTATTATTCACAGACCTGAGTCAGTGTCCAAGGCAAACAAACACAATTAACTGAAACTCGATCATCAACACGAATGGATTGCCTTCGGCAACCAGCACCTCCCACACCTTCTCTTTTATTATTCAGCCAAGGTGTGGCTTCCTAATGCCTTCTCCTTTGCCTTTGGAGCTGCCCCATTGCGTTCCTCTGTCCTACTCTCTTTTCTTGCCAGCGTTTTCGTGCATCCTGGCTATCTCCCAGCTGTGATTCATCACTGTCCAACTCAGACTCCCAGCACAGCTGTGTCTCAGCCTGAGTGCGAGTAGAGGGGCCAGGCTCCTCGTCAGAGACTATAAGTCGTGGAGCTCCTCAGAGCCTTCCTCTCACTCTGATATCACTCCAGGCCCCTCCTCCTCCTCTGATTCCTCAGACTGTGGACTTAGGCTGTGACATTTGCACACCCTTTGGGTAATGATGTAATGAGGTCCAGGTCACCCGTTTGCCCTCATCCTGGCTTGCTACCGTCACTGTGACTCTTATAGACAGGTTGGCAAGATCAAAAGGATGGAAGGAAAAGAACCTATGTAGAATCCTACGGGAGGAATCTGAGAATAAGCTTCTGTCCTTGGAACCCCTTGAACATTTGCTGAAACAGAGCGCATAAATAAAATCCCTGTAAGGTGAGAAGAATTCTCAATGGTAGAATGAAGAAGAAGAGTTGTCCACTGGTAGGTGGTAGGAAGGGATGACCTCTGCAATGCATTGTGCCTCGTGGCTGTAGCACAATATTTCTCCACCTTGGCTCCGTGAAGATGCCTGGACTTAAACTCCACACATCTTCAGCTGGCCAAGGTTGAGGAACACTGCTCCACTTTCTCCAAAAACATTTTTTTTTCATCCTTTCAGCGCCTTCCAGAGCGGGATGGATGCTCTCTGGTTAATCTTTGCTAGATTTAGGGCTCCTTGCTCTGTTTTTGCCTGGCGGATTACTTCTCAGTTTTTGGTCTGCATTTATCTGCATGAATATAGCCCCGTTTTCCTTCTTGCTGGACAGTTTCAAAGCCTGGTGTAGCTCCTATAGGGAGTAAACAGAGAAAAAACATGGAGATGTGTCCTCAACATCCCTTCTAAATAGGGTCATCATAGACATGGGGGGCTGGAAGGTCCATTTCTGTCGTCCCCTCATTTAGATTGACTTGATCTTAGGTTGCAGTTTTAAATCCATTTTTCTTGAAACAGGAAACAGCTCAATTCCATGGGTTGCTTTTATTTCTGTTGACTGCCATGTATGCATGATAACGATTCATGATGTGAAATTGAATAGTTACTTAACTCTGCAACTTCCAACAGCCAGTAGACTTTCAAGGATACCTTGGAAGTTTCTAAAGCAGTGTTTCTCAACTTTGACAATTTTAAGGCATGTGGACTTCAACTCCCAGAATTCCACAGCCAGCATTGCTGGCTGTGGAATGCTGGGAGTTGAAGTCCATATGCCTTCAAATTGTCAAGGTTGAGAAACACTGTTCTAAAGGATATCTCTAATCTCTTCTTTGATACCACAGCTATTGCTGCATGGAGTTTCAAATATTCCGGAAACCGATTTATTAATTTCAAAGGGTTTGGGTCTGAAAGATTCAGAGTGGGCATTTAATGGGTGGGATCTACTTAATCTTTAATATAACTCACAGTGGAGTGATTTTGTTTTTTGTTTTTGTTTTTAAAAAAACAAGGACACATTTATAGGAAGAAAAAGAGATACTGAATTATGTGAGTCTAACGCAGCAGAATAAAAATGTAGAAGATTTTAAAAGCCAAAGAAATCTATTGTTCTTTAACGTAGGGGAAATCAGGACCATAGCTGGCATGAAATTTCAGTAACCCTTCTCTGTTAATCCTACAAATCCTACAAATTAATCCAATCTGGATAAATAAGTCAATAAAATGAAAACCCTTGAAAGCAAGCCCTCTCCGATGGAGCTTGCAAGACGCTACTCTCTCCTGAGTGATACCATGAGTCCTGCGGGAGAAGGGCGGTATATAAATTAAATTAATAATAAATTAATAATAATAATGTGGGAGGATGCCTAATCAGAGTTTACTATAGAGTTGACAATGGTCAATGTGATAAGTAATGGATTATTAAAAACCTGTCAAAATTTCTTGAATGACTAACCTAATCAATTGTGGTTCTTCCTCCCACTCCCCTATCATGGATGCATAAATTCCTTGTGTGCAGAACAGTATAAGGAATTTAGAAGGAAAAATTTAAGAGCGCTTATTTATTGCATGAATTAACAGCCAACTGCAGCCTGTGATATTCATCGGCAAGGGATCCACAAGCCCACCAGTGTATTTTGGTCTAGGCCACTGTTTCTCAACCTTGTCAAGTTTTAAGCTATGTGGACTTCAGCTCCCAGAATTCCCCAGCCAGCAGGCTGACTAGGGAATTCTGGGAGCTGAAGTCCACATAGCTTAAAACTTGACAAGGATAAGCAACACTGGCCTAGCATTAGCAGATGAGGCTGAGCTTTAATCAGGGTGATGTCACCACCCATGACACAGTTGTGTCTGTTAAATAAGCCAATTTATGATACCATCCTGACAAAATAAGCTCCAGTTTTACAGCCCGGTTTTTAAGACTTGTGGCATGGCAGAGAACTGAAAGCTGAATGCCTACCCTGAAATCTTCTCTTTGCCTGTTGTGTCCCAGCCTATGGGAGTCCTTGTTAAGCTCACAGGGAAAAACCCTTCTTCCAACAACCAGGCTGGAACCGCAGGAAAAAACCAATCCCCTTTTATTATTCACAAACCTGAGTCAATGTCCAAGGCAAACAAACACAGTTCACTGAAACTCGATCCTCAACACGAATGGATTGCCTTCGGCAACCAGCACCTCCCACACCTTCCCTTTTATTATGCAGCCAAGGCGTGGCTTCCTAATGCCTTCTCCTTTGCCTTTGGAGCCACCCCATTGCATTCCTCTGTCCTACTCAACTTCTCTTGTCTGCGCTTTTGTGCATCCTGGATTTGTCCCAGCTGTTCTTCATCACTGTCCAACTCAGACTCCCAGCACAGCTGTGTCTCAGCCTGAGCGCGAGTAGAGGGGCCAAGTTCCTCATCTGACTGTAAGTCTTGGAGCTCCTCAGAGCCTTCCTCTGACTCTGATGTCACTCCAGGCCCCTCCTCCTCCTCCTCTGATTCTTCAGACTCAGCTGCCGGGTCCACTGGCTGGCGAGGAGTCACAACACTGCCTTCTGCAATGTTCTCGTGTTTATTCTGGATAAACTATTGTAATTGTATGAAAGACCTTGGGAGACAGGCAAAGAGATGCTGATTAGGGAATAGTCAGATAAGAGATGGCATAGCCCCCAGCTCCATCATGGGTGGAGGAAAAGGCTCAGAAGAGACTTTCCCTAATTTCTTAGACTGTAAAGGAGACAGTAAGAGATTTGTACTTTCAGACCTGGCAAGATTCTGTCGACATAGCCTTGTGATAAAGTAGAATTAGCTCATCTAGTCATGTTTTCCTGTCTGATCAACCTATAAGGTTATGAATTATACAGGGGAATTGTAGTCATGTTAGTTTGAAGGAGTAAATAGTTTGAGGCATCATTGTAATAGTAGTTTAGCTTTCCTCAATCTGGTGCCTTCCAGACGTGCCACATTTTGACTCCTGTAATTGCAAACCTGACAGTCAATCTTTGCAACGCTGAGGAACGAATCTTGGGTTAATTGCTTCTTCTCTTCTGCAAACTGGGGTCTGTACGATGCTCCCAGGACT